GTCTGATTTCGTAAATTAAATTATAGTTTGCACTAATTCATTAACCTATTTGAAGTCACACCTGTGAACAGTGAGAGTCATTGTACTTGAAAATCTAATCATTAGATCAAAAGTTATTCAGGGTATATCATTTTATTTATTTGCACTCTCATTTTATTGGTTTATAATAAAAAAAAGTTTAAGGAAATTATGTTTTACAACGGAACGATCCCAGCTCAGTTCAGTGACTTATTTAGAGTATAAATATAAAGAGCAAAAAATATTCACTATTTTGATTGTCTTGAATTGCTTCAAATTATAGCCGAAATACTTTTAAGTTTTCATCTTTTATCAAATTATTTTATTCTGATTTCAATTGTTTTAACTCTTTCACAACAGTAATTTAATAAGAGGCATATTCTTGAAATCCATTCAAAGTGAAAATCGACACGCTTTTCTTCTATGCTTCAAAGAATATGTTCTAAATAAGACGAATGTGCATGCTCAATTTTAACATTGTAAAGATTAGATTTTTAAAAACGCATTAGCAAGTTTTCTTTTATTGAAAAGCATTCATAATTTATTGACATTATGGCAAAACGAATAAGATAACAAAAACTAGACCCGTTCTTCGCTCAAAAGTTTAAAAATTAATTTATCAGCATTCAATAACTCCACTCAATCATGCACGAAACAATAGGACATGCAACGACACACTTGAAAAGAAATTAAAATGATTGAATTATTTATATTATTATTTGTTGCTAAAACTCCATGACTTTTCTATCGTCCTATGTTTTATATTAGGCAATAGGATTATAATAAGCACATCACGTGTTTAAATGAAGCAAAACACAGCGAAACGGTCGCCACCTCCACGCTTAACAGAGCGTTTGGCGGGTGATACCGCTCTGCCAGGGAGGCCCCCCCAATGAGGTGCACCTGGTTCGAATACCAGCGATGGCTGATTGATACGAATTCCGCATCCGGCTTGCATCGACCACAGTGCTGACGTAAAATATCCTCAGTGTTAGACGGATGATGGGTTAGAGTCCCCTTACAGTGAGACTCACCGTGGGAGGTTTTCGTAGTTTTCCTCTCCATGTGACTCAAATACGAGTTATTTTCACCCAAAAGTCCTCCACGAAGGCATATTTTCCCCACTACCTGTGCCAAGAGTTCCCTTGTCTTCTGGGTTAGGTTCAAAATGACATGACTGCTGAGTTGAACATGAGTCATCGTAAACCCAAAAAATATTGGGTCGGCTGTTCAACGACGTTTATGCTATAAAATACCTAGGATTTATTTAATTATTTTTATTCGTTTCAAATTTTATTTTCAATATAATTTTTTCTTCCTGTACTAACTTTTCCCTTCCAACAAGCTCAGACAGACGAGCTTTTGTGAGTCTATTGAGTTGAAAGATTGGGCACTAGGTGCGCGGGACCGCACACGTGTCTTCTGGGTGACGGCTGTGAGGTTTCCGTGTCCGAGGGCTTGGGTCCTTCGGATCTCCGGATGTGCTGTGGATGTAGTAATACGCCACGAAAAGCCTCAAACCCGCTTAGCAGATCGGCTCCCAAAACTGTTCTGCCGACAATTTGTACAGATACTCGTAATCAGTCGTTACCTTTCCATTCTGAATGCAGACTTTCAGTGTTGTCGTGTCGGCAACTTGTTCAACCTTAGTCGTTTCCTTCCCAGCTCCCAGCAATGTTCTGTAGTGGCATAAAATAGCATAATGACGTATCATGAACAACAATACATAAAGAGTGTTATTATCAAAGTAACATATATCACATAAATATTAATGATCATAGTATCATAATCACATACACATTTTCATTATCATTTTATTGTATTTGTTTAAGCGTAAGTCCTACAAATAAATTACATAGTAGTGTCACACTATGCAGTCAAAATTTAAAATCAAAACTCAAGATACAGTGCATAAACTATAGGGTAGCAAGATATAACAATTTTACTAAGAAAAAAAATTCCTTATGATAAATTCTGAACAATATGATTTTTTTACAGAGTATTTATAAATGGTTTTATATTCCAAAACTATGGTTACTTGTTTGTGACTCTGTTATTTTTTAAAAAGAAAAGACTGCTATAAGTTTTTACAATTTTCTTCCGTTTCTTGATATTCATAACAATTCACCGCTCAAAAAAGAATTTGTAGTCTCCAGTTTGCTATTTGTAGTATGAAATGAATAATCCCAAGAAACTGAGAAAGCTTTCATAGAGATGGCTCTACTTCGACGGGTAAACAGAACTGATTTAGGCAAACGCAAAGTTAGGTATTAAATAACAATTTATAACAATAAAACTAGAAGTAAATCTTTCCAATTGCTGCTGAGAAATTGGTGTCGTTTTTTAGCAAATCAGCCTTTATAATAACACAAAGAAAACAAGGAAAAATATTTTTTGAAAGAGAAGAAGAAAAATAATTAAAAATATTTTTTTAAGTATTAAAAAAATTTAATTTGAAAAAAAAAATTATAATTTTTCTTTTTTAAAATATATTTTTCCTTGTTTTCTTTGTATTTTATGGGTTCCATGTACTTGCAGCTTATGCGCAGTTAATAATTCTTACTTTAAAACTTGTTTTTTTTTTTCTTAATTGCCTTTCTTTTTTGCCTATTTATTGTGTTGATGCTTAAGACACTGCTTAAAGTTAATTAAAAAAAGATAATTATTAGAAAATAAAATGCTCAAAATTGCATCAAAACATATATAAAAACTGACTTTTCTTTCATTTTGTAGATAATATTTTGTTTTCCATTTTGTAGATAATATTTTGTTTTCCATTCAAATTAAATTTATGATATTTAACTGAATTTGTGCAGTTAAGATATCGCTTATATTTTACCTTAATGTGTAAAATGAATTTTACAATTGTGTTCAGAAATTTTTCAATTCGCTTAAAAAGTTCTAAAGATTTTAAGATACGCAAATAGTCAAATTAAACTTGAGAGTTCCAAACTCCAGCCCAAACTATCTATACGATATAATTCTTAAATAGATCTCTTTCTATGCTTTGAGATTCAGAAATCTGGATCCATCAACAGCAACAAAAAATTATGTTTATTCAGAAAACGAACGCTTTTATGTCTGCTTTCGTAACTTAAAACATCATCTGTACTAATTGATTGACATATTTAAGTTGATGCCCTCATACCCATAAAGATTGAGTCTTAGTTCGTAGAGTTCCAGTTATTAGATCAATTATTCAGTGTTTTTTTCCGCACTGTACACCATTCAAATAAAAAATTTATTTGCAATTTTTTTGTTTAATAGTGTAAAAGTTTTATTCTCATTCTTATCAATACAGATGCGCAAAAGTTCTGAAAAAAGCTCCCATGAATAACTGTTTGTTAAATATTAAAGTTTTAAACATTATTAGGAAATTTTCAGTGCATGTATATTCACGCAACACGAGCCATGACAGTTAGGAGGACTAAACTCCAACATTTCAGCGAATTTCAAAACGCACTCTTAAGGTTGTTTTTCTGATCCGATCTCAATTTTAACATTTTTTCCCCTGAAATGTGTTACAAAATGATTTTATGGTTTTTATTTCGTCACATTTCAACTACATTTTAAATTTTTTCTAACCAGGAATAATTATAATTTAACTATATAAAAATGATGGTGAAGTGCACTGATGGTTGCTCAATCTCCATATGATATAGTAAGAAGACCGAAAATGAAGGATTATATATGAGTGTAGCGATAGTTAAAACCAAAAAATAATGAGAAAATGTCATTTTTTCACAAAAGAGTGTCCATTTGGAAAAAAAAGTTAACAAATATGGATCCTCTTTTTTTTTTGGCATTTAAATGTACAAAAAAAAAGAAGAAAAAACAACGTTTCGAAAAATCTTCGATTTCTGACGGCTTTAACCATAACCACATCAATTCCCTATAAATTTCCAAAGTAACGTCAAAATCGATCCAGTTACGATTCAAAGTAGCCTACTTGGGGTGAGAGGTATCGCCCACCAAACGCTGTGCAAAGCGTGGAGGTAACGGGTTAGAGTCCCGCCGTCATTCTGGATGTATCCTTCTCTGAATTGTTCCATCTGTTATTCTACTTGACAAAGGTTTATTAGCCTAAATTAAGCACACAAGCCAGCAAATGTATGTTATTTCAATAAAGCAATCCAAACACTCATAAAAAAAAATTGAAATTGTGTTTTGAATAACGTTCGGTTTTCTGAGACTTATGCTTAGACCCTACAAATCGCCTGCCTCCAACTCATATATTTTGTTGGTGTGCGCGAAGTAAATGCGTGGTGCTCTTTGCGTCTTTTGCACAATTCGAATAACCTTGACATCCATCCTTCCCCACGATACTTTCCTTGGAAGTCAAGTCATTGGATCACATGTGCTTCAGAGAAAATGCTCAAATGAGCGAATTTGGGCCGGGAGAGCCTGTTTGTTAGGCATTGGATCCATGCCCAAGAGTTCGTGAGTTCGATCCCAGACAGCCCGAAGACTCCCCGTGTAGTAAATGGGGACTGACGCACGTGAAATCTGTCGAGTCACACAGTCCTCCAGGTTCCCCTAACAAATCAAGACCTTTGGGGGTACTGATCCAGGAGTTTCCTTGTCTTCCGGAGTAGGTTCAAAATGACAAGGTCACGGAGTTGAACATGAATAGTCGTAAACCTAAAATTGGGTCGGCTGCTTAACGACGGATACAAAATTTAAAAGAATGAGCGAATTTAGTGATGTGTTCCGGTTTTGACTGTCATTTGACAAGTCTTTTTTTTTTAGTATGCAGGCCGGATTGCCTCCTGTAACGTCCTCGATGACGCGGCAGGTTCGATGATCACGTTTTTCAACTGCATCAAAAAGTTGTGGGGCACAACGATTAGTACGTATTCCATAAAATAAAGTATCGAAATATGCAATAAAAAAAGTCAAGAAATTTCTTCCCCTTCATGAAATAATATAACGTTTAAAATGTCTTGAGTTGTTTTATCAGTCAATAAAGTTTTTCCTTCTAGGAAATCGTTAGCTCATTGTGCAGCTCTAGTGCGACGTAAATTAACAACAACAACTAGGAAATCGTCTATTATTAAACAAGGACGAGATGTAGAAGGACCTGATAAATAAAAGAGAAAATGGAAGGTCCTGATAAAGGGTGGAGCTGGGTCATCGCTGCAGCTTGTTTTTTTTCTAGCCTTGTGTTGGCTGGAATATTCAGGTGAGTGTAGAAGAAATTTTGACCTTTCATTCTATACGAAATATTATTATTTTCGTGTGACCTCTTAAAACGCATTCATAAATAAATCCGTCTAAAACTTATTTCTGTCACTGTATACTTTGCTTGCAAGAAAAAACTTTTTAACTGCCCTTCTTTTATTTATGGCGTTCATTTAATGAAAATGACCAACGAATTCATGCGTGAAACAATTTTTAGGGTATCCCATACCAAATGGAAGTAAATGAATCATCTTCCTTGCAATTTAAATTTAATAATCCATTAAAACATAATATTTCAAATATTGAACGATATCGGTCTATGAATAGATCCGCATAGTACATACAGATACGTGAGGGAAAAAAACAGGTGATATAATTTATGAATGTTGTTAGGTCAATCTGCAATCCGTCAGTGTTTTCCAGTACATCTAAAGCTGAGAAGAAAGAAAGATTTAAAAAATCATTCCATACAGTTATAACCCTAAGTTTACAAAGAATAAAGTGCGCGGATAACTTGTTGTTTTAAATCAAAGAATGTACCTGTTATTCAAATGTTTCATTTCATAAGAGTACTCAAGTACAGAACTCAAAGTACAAAATTTTAAGAGAAACAGTTTTAAAAGATTATTTTCTGCAAAAGTTATAAATGTCAGGCATTGAGTTAAAGGTTGCTATTCAATTTATATATGTTAAAATACAACTTGATATTTCTAGCAATGTTCGGAAAAGCAAAAAAATTGCTTTTTTTTATTAATTTAAATAATATTAATTTGAAATTAATAATTTTATTTTAATCTTTTGAACTGTCTTTGAAATGATGTTTAACTCATTTTCAAAGCTTCTATTGTCTGAGTCGCGAAATAGAAAACTTCGTCAAAATAAGAAAAACAGTTGAGAATTAGAGGTGAGTTACGTTATTGTTGTGCACGAAATAGAATCATCTTTCTACATAACCTCATATTTTTGGAAGGGGAAAAATTCAAATTTTGGAAGGAAAAAATTCACAAAACTCCTAATTTGATCGAAGCATAGGCGAAACTGTATTTACCCAAACTGTATTTATTTCGAGGACTGTATTCAAACTGTATTTATTTAGGCGAAACGGTATAGGCGAAGCTAAATTTATACAAACTGTATTTACCCATTCATTGTTAGATTTTTCCTTTTTAATTAAAGTGGGCCAGCAGGTTTTGAAAGCGAGCTAATTGGCGTATTAGATCAATTCTGATGTTCAACATTGTTTTCTGAATTCCATGACGCGTAATTGGCTTTTCAATGGGCAGTGAAGGAATTAGATTCGTTGAGAAAGATAAGAATTGAGAAATGAATACCTGAAACGATACATATTAATACTTTTACATATTAATCATTAAAAAAAAGGTGTAATACTTTAAAGAAAACTTATAATAAAAAGGTGTAATGATTTCGTTTGTGTTTTCTAAATAAAAAGGAGGAAAATGAATTTTCGTAAATAAGCCAGCAAAACGTACTTTTTGTTAAAACTTTGTGAAGCAAATGTGAAAAGTGGCCTTCCATCCAAGCACGTCCCCGATAAACCTGTTCAAACATTTATCGGGAACAGCAAGTAATTTTCGCTGTTTTCTTTCAATTCTGGAAAGTTAGTGCCTGTTGCAAAACCCCAATCTGGAGCCATCCACTAAATTAAAGGAATTCAATTCTGTTTTTCTACAGTAAGCGTGCTAAGTTGGTTTTGTGTTCCGATGAATGCTAATTCCTTGGAACAATTTTCATTCGTCTGCTATTACGCACTGCCGAATAAAAAGAGGAAAGATAAGTTTTCAACTAATGATTAAAGAAATAAATAATTAATAAACCATTTTTCATAAAAATATTTAATAAATTATTAAACCAAATATATNGCTAGTCTATATATATAAAAATCTCTTGTCACAGTTTTAGTGTTTAAACTCCTCCGAAACGGCTTGACCGATTTTGATGGAATTTAATATGTATATTCAGTAGGTCTGAAAATAAGTTTATAACTGATTTTTTTTCATTTTTTTGGACAGATTTAACGTATATTTTAAATATATCTTTATTTAATCGTATTCGGATCCAAACTAGACATAGAAACATAATAAATCGAAAACAATATTCACTCCCGTTGCGACAAGTCATATTAAACTCTAAACACCCTTAAAAGAAGAGCATCAAATATATTTGCAAGTATGTGAATAAAGGCAGTGGTATGGCAGTATTTCGAGTTGAAAACACCAATGTGACTGCTCTTCCAGTGAATAACAACGACGAAATAACGCTGTACCAAATTGACCGGTACATCAGCACCAATGAAGCCGTTTGGCGTATCTTTGGATTCCCAATTCATGAACGGGATCCAACCGTTAGTCATTTAGCCTTCCATCTTGAAAACGGTCAGAACGTATATTTGAAGAACGAGACAGCGATTGACCGAGCTATAAATCCACCAAAAACTACTCTCACCGAATTTTTTTGAATTGTGTAATCGTACGGATGCTTTTGGTGCCTTTGCACGGACATTACTCTACTCAGAAGTACCACACTATTTCACATGTGCTCAAACAAAAAACTGGACACCCCGCAAGCAAGGCACACCGGCTGATGCCTGTCCCAGTTTATTCAAATCAAACGCCATATTAAATCCATATTAAATTCGTAATTTTTACCGCTCCGTCAGGGCATTCAAATGACTAAAATAAATTTTAATAATTAAATATTACATTTATAAGTAATTTAAATCTCATAGTTGCTCACTTGTCATTACCTTACGATAAATACTAAAACGAAATTTAAATTTTACAAAAATATTCAATTGATCATATATTATAACACATAATATAATTAAAACGAAACTATAAATCCTATTACATCTATATGCTAGTCAAATGAAATCAATTTGTTAAAGTAAAATTTCTCACAGAAAAAGTACATTTCAATAACAGTAAATAAGTTTTTGAAAATGCAAAAATAAAAAATGAAAATAAGATCAATGAATAAAAATTAATCATTTTAAATGAAATATCAAGAATGAAAAAAAAAATTCTAAAGTTATAATCATTTAAACACCAATTACTATTTCATGTGAAATTGTTCACCGTGAATTATATTCAAATCATTAACTTTTTAGCTTTCAATTGCCATAGAGACATGGGGAAAAATTGTTCACCATGAATTAATTATTTTAAATAATTCACTTTTTTGATGTATCTCTGAAAACTATTGGTAATCAAAACAAGTTGATTACAATTAGGAAGGATTTCCATTGACTCCGCACTGGCACTAGTTGTAAACCCGAAAGAGACTTCTCACTGAGTTGATTCCGGCAAGGTGGGCGAAACTGAACGACGAAATCCAATCTCCAGCGGTAATTCCCACAGCAACAACGGTAGAGGCAGTGGTAGAGGAACGGTAGAGACACGATGACGGACGCGAAGACGTCAGGCACTGTTAAAATTCAGTTACACAACTCCATCAATGGACACTTGAAAGAGAAAAGTCCCGAAAATCTATTCAAAGCACTCCCTGGAACCGGAAAAATGAAAGTTTCGGCTGTCGATTAATATTGTTTCAATAATCAGTCTGGAACAGCAGAGCAAACGAAACATCTTTTTCTTTTTTTATTCTTTCTATAACAGCTCCATTCCCCAGCTAAGTGATCAGTGCTCTCCGGTTACTTTTTCTTTTCTTTTTATTTATTTATTTTTATATATTTGAAAAGAGCATTTTCAAAATGGAACCAATGGGGGAAAAAAGTGCTAAACCAACTGCAAAAATATCCTGCGCCCGTTTCATCAGTTCTTATAATCCTGCTCGGCTTGTAAAATGATGCAGTCGGACCGAGCAGGAAAACAGACACAGGATTTAATTGAAAGTCTGTGAACATATCAACAGCAGTATACTATGCACAAAGTGTCCGCCGTGCATGTCGAGGCAGGCTTGAGCACGCCGTGGATATGTCCAATAACGTGTTTTTTTCTTGCACCGGCAGTAACGTCATACTTTGTTTTTCGTATTTTTCTCGTAAACTATGGATCGTACAGGAACGCTTCTTTGGGCAGTTTTTANTCACTAATAGAAAGTTAAACACTTTATGATAATATTATTTTAAATTACTTAGTTTGAAATTCTTTTTATTTATCAATTCCATATTTAATAAAATACGAAACAGAATTTTTTTCCAGAGATAAATATATATTATTAACGTTTTCTATGGGAGTTACCACAAAATTCACCTGAAATTGTCTAATAGTATAATTAATTTTAGAAAAATTAGTTGAATTATTATTGCCGTTTATAGTGTTTTTATTATTGAGAAAAAGTATTGATTAAGTAGCCATTTCCATTTTGCAAATAGACCTAAAGATAATCAATTGAAAACATTTAGACAAAAACTATTGAGATCATTTAGAGCACATTTTAGAATTTTAATAATTCATTTATGGTATATGGACCTAAATTTTGTGCCAATATCATTAAATTTCTTAGTTAATTTTCTATTGCGTATATATATATATATATATATATATTAATGGCCATTAAAATTGCTACACCAGGAAGGAAGGTAAATAACAGAGTGATATTTATTGGGCACATACGCTATAGTTGGAAGAACAAGTGATTAAATTTTCAGGATATTTGGATGAATAGACCCTGAGGAATCAGTACTCAGAGCAGCCTCCCCTGACAACAATAACTGCAGTGATCCTCCTGGGCATTGAGTCGGACAGAGATTGGATAGCATGGACGGGTACAGCATTCCATGCAGCTTCAACATTATGCCACAATTCATAGGCCCTAGTGACTGACGAGTGGTGGCGTGCCAGTCACTCTGCAACCATTGACCAGACGTTTCCAATTGGTGAGAGATCAGGAGAACTTTCGACATGTTCATGCCAGGGCAACAAGCGACATGTTCTGTGTCAAAGAAGGTCAAAACAGTGCGGGCAACATGCGGACGTGCATTGTCCTTCTGAAACATAGCGTTATGGAGGCCTCTAAGATAAGGCAGAGCAACTGGCCCTAACACATCAGAAATGTGACGGCTGCGGTTCAAAGTGCCGGCAATGCGAACAAGAGGTGAGCGAGACGTGTATCCAATGGCACCACATACCATTATTCCAGGTGATGGGCCAGTATGACGATGCAAGCTGCCAATGGGCGTTCTCCACGATGTCGCCAAACACTGATGCGGCCATCATGATGCTGTATACAGAACCTGGATTCGTCTGAAAAGACTACATCATGCCATTCCTGCGTCCAAGTTCATCGTTGATCACATCATTGGAAGCGCTCCTGTCTGTGATACAGCGTCAAGTGTAGCCTAAGCCATGGTCGCCGTGTTGACAGTCCATGCTGCTGCAAACATCGTCGAACTGTTCGTGCAGATACTTGACCTCGTGCAAATAACCCCATTTGTTGACTCAAGGTTCGTGACGTAGCTGTACGATCCCTTAAAGCCATATGGATTACATGTCTGTCTTCTCGGCTGTTCGTGAGGGGGGCAGCAGAGATCCTGCACGGCTTTCCATATGACCGTCATGAACCCATCGATTCCATATTCTGGTAGCAGTCATGGGATCTCGACCAACGCGAGCAGCAATACTTCGGAATGATAATACAGCAATCCCGGTAGGCCACAATTAGCCCTCGATCAAACTCAGACACATATTGGTAGGCATTTCTCCTTCTTACATGAGGCATAACAAAAACGTTTTTACCCAAGAATAACGCTCAAATTCAATTTCTGTATGAGAAACTTAACTGTCAAATCTCTTCTTTTATACTCATTGCAGGTGTCGCTACCGCCGTATTATAGGTACTTGCTCTTTTTTTCTTCTTTGAAGCGAAAATGCAAATTAACAAAGTTAAAATTTGTTGATGTTGTGCTTAAAATTTTCAAAAATCAAATCATTTCGTGGAATCCAATTTTGAAAAACGAAACTTTATTTGTGTTTTTCTAATTCTAGAACATCCGGTGTGCTGTTCGTTGCATTCATCCATTCTTTTGGTGTGACAAGAGAGGAGGCATCGTGGCCTATGGTGCTCTGTATATCAGTGCTCAATCTTACGGGTAAATATATACTATTTATTTATCTCTTATATAAGAGCCGCTGTTACATTGCTGAGATTTGAAAAGTGTGTATACAAGGAAATCAATGGAACAAATAAATTACAGTAATTAGTTCGAAATTCGGTTAATCCGAAAAATTAGTTATTATCGAAAAATCAGTTCGACTATTAGTTCGTAGTAAAAAAAAATATACATTCTTAAATAGAATAGTGTTTTTTTTTATCGTTTTAGAAAAAAATAACTTTTTGAGAAGGGGGTAAACAGTCCACGAAAGCTGATTCTGACAGAGATTACCTTCACTCACTCACGGGAGGTTCCAAATTTGTCCTCAACACGCAACGGTTCAATCGTAAAGAAGAATGGACTGTCAATGCGTTGATGAGCGGATTGAACAGTCTAATAGAAATGTCTAGTGTACTCTTGAACCCATTATCCCGAAGATGAATTGAATTCAATTGAAAAGTCCAAAAGCGTCAAAATCAATGATAGATAAGAAACGAATTTCTTGGATGGAATTTATAAAACAAATAAGAAGATTTAAATGTATTCAAGATTCTTATATGAGAATGCTATTTTGAGACATGTCAGAGGGCACTAAAAACTATGTTGTCCATTTTTAAAGTTAAATTAGACAAAAACGAAGCATTTTGACCAAACTTTATGAAAGCTGTTTTTCTGACGAAAACTGCAATGAAAACTTAAGTAAAAACATAATTGTTTATTTATTTGTTCTATCATTCATAATGGGTAAATTTGATTTTACTCATAATGAGGGGTCATTTTTATAGTTCCGGTTTTCATGATTCCAACACATTTCTACCCTCAGAAAATGACTAAAATTAAGATCGTTACCTTCAATAATATTTTGAAGTCACCCCTAAGATCATTTTACTGTGGAGCAGAGAGCTCCAGAGAGGTTTCACTGTATTTTCAACTCAGAAGACTACGGCCTCCAAGAGCCTATTTCGACCATAGAGTTGATATAGTAGGTAGAGGAACCAAGTCCGCTTTATTCCTTCCGAAAAGACACGCCACAGATAGCAAGCAAAGAGTTACAATCACGTGATGGAAAGAGTGCAATACTTGGCGCAGTATCACAAATGTTGGCGCACTAAGTTTTTAAACANCTACTCTCTCTACCCAGTATTTCAACTCTATGATTTCGACACTGCCTCCGAGTGTGAGAAAAATCGTCATTTTTCTGAAAAAATGAGGCATTTTCCGATGTAAAATCGAAAAGGATAGAAACACAAATAAAGCATTATCGGCAAATATTTTGTAGATAATGCTTTCATCTGAAACTTTTATAACTAAAACGTCTTTGTTAACTAATTTTATTTCTTGATGAGGAAAGCTAATTCCTGAAAGTAAAAAGGGGACCATCCACTTAGCTTAATGTATGGAAAGATGTTTTGTCTCTGAAGCATACTTTGTTTAGTGTAACAAATAATAACAATTACAGAGAATTCTTTATAATCTCCTCCAGGATCACATATTTTGAGTTTTGCAATTGCCTGGAAATAGTTGCATGCTGTCCACTAAAGATCAATAATCTCAGTTTGTTTGATTTTATTGATTCCTTTTTTTAATTTTTTTTTATGCGACGTTACCTTAAATCTTAGAAAATAAATTTAAAGCTTGATACTATTTTTAAATCAACAATTTATCTTCAATGTGTCGTTGGGTATAAATCTTTTTTTTAAACAATTGCTCTAACAAAAATCAAGTCAGCACTGAAGAAGCAGTATTTGCATTACTTATTAGTTTTCTGTCTCCAATTTCGTACTTCCCAACTGAATATTAACTCCCATGTATGAATCTTCCTTAAATGCTTTGAATATTCCTCCACTAGTAAAGATTGGAGGCAATTTTTCATAGAGATTTGCACTTGCTATCTTTGTTTTTCACAAAAGAAATCAAAAATTATTTATATATATATACTCTATAACAAAAAAATCGACGCACCAAGAAGCAATCCTCCGATTGCTTCTTGGTTCGGTTACAGTGGTGCATGGCTCGATCAGGCTAGAATAATGCCAACTGGGGGCGTATAGTCTTTAGCGACGAATCCCGCTTCCAACTGTGTCCTGACGATCATCGAAGCCGTGTTTGGAGACGCACAGGGCAGAGGGGTGATCCTGCCTTCACTATTGCACGCCACACCGGCCCTCAGCAAGGCATTATGGTCTGGGATGCCATTTCCTTTGACAGCCGGACCCCTTTAGTCGTCATTAGAGGTACACTTACTGCACAGCGGTACGTCGACGACATCCTAAGACCTGTTTTGCTACCGTTCCTTTTGCAGCGCCCTGGGCTGGTTTTTCAGCAGGACAATGCCAGACCACATACGGCACGTGTTGCTATGAACTGTCTGCAAGCTTGTCAAACTCTTCCTTGGCCTGCCAGATCACCAGATCTCTCTCCCATCGAGCATGTCTGGGATATGATGGGAAGGCGATTGCATCTGGCACGGAATGTTGATGACCTCGTTCGACAATTGGATCGAATTTGGCAGGAAATACCGCAAGAGACCATCCGGGAGCTTTATCGGTCTATGCCACGCCGTGTGGCAGCTTGTATCCAGGCTAGAGGCGGGTCAACACCTTATTGAACTTGTTACTGTAACTCTGCAATAAATTATTCAATTGTTCTGAAATTTTAATCATTTACTATTCTGTACATTGTCTTCCTATCCACCAATTTTCGTTTCAATCGGACAACTCCTTCTTGGTGCGTCGATTTTTTTGTTATAGAGTGTGTATATATATATGTATATATATATATTTAGGTTACTGTTCTGTTTTTGAATTACACTTTACTAATTTTTTGCTAAAAATTGCATTTCTTTAAAGTACGTATACTTTATTTATTTTTTTTATTTAAAAAGAGATTTTTTTTGTATAAAGCAAAAAAATTTATCGATCTTGAAAAAGTTAGCAATTTTTTTATACAAAAACTGTTTAAACATTGTTGTCATTGTGTTTAATAAAATAGAATAAAATAGAAAAGTAATTGAATTTAAAGATTTTATAGCAATATACTATTTGAGTTTATCTTGCGGTATTTTCCCACATATTTTTAAACTCTTCTTTTACTCAATAAAACTAATTGAATGTAAATAGAAATGATGACTAAAAGAAATATTGTACCATTCTAAACTTCTCTATTTTCGATTTAGAAAAAAAATCGAACTCTAATACCTTACTAATAAAGAATGCACTATTAAACAATACCTCTAACACTAATAAACAATCAAGATAAATTTTTAAAGTTCTATTTTTATGCTTTTGGCTGATCATTTAATGATAAATTCAAACTTTTACTATTTTTGATATTATTTGTTTATCATTCTTCATCATATTAAGTCTATGTCTTGGGTTTCTAAGAGATTCATTTACAAAAGAGATAACAGATTAGAAAAGTCAATTTAATCTGATTTTATTCATTTATTTTTCTCAATCTATGAAACTTTTTTTACCGATAGAGTAACAAAATCTTTGAAATCTATTTTTCATTAGCTATTACAACGTACATTATTTCAAGGTGATTAACAAAATATGCACATTTTTTTCAACACTCTTTAAAGTACCCATTTTCTTGCGAGGATTAGCAAACCACATCTCTTTTGTCTGACCGTTTTATGAACAGATTTCATTTATAAAATATGAGGCTAAAAGCATCATCCATAAGCTGAATATAGATTTATGTTTCTACCACTCACTGTTCGGATTTTATGGCAAGAAATGTAAAAAAAAAAAAAATTTAAAAATCGTGTCTTTAAAAAAATAAAAATAAAAAACAACTTTGACGATCGGAGGTGGTGTCTAATATTTTGTTGAGCTGAAACTTTCCAAATATTAGTTTCATATCAAATGACTTCGTTTAAGGGGGTGTCGTGAAGGATTCGATGAGAAAAAAATTTCATGTGCTTATAAAAACTACGTGGGCAGCTTCCTGCATTCTACTTGGAAACCCAGGTTTATTACTGTCACCAAGTTTCAAAGCTAGCTTTTTCAAATAAATTTTTGAATCCTTTGTTACTGTTTATGATAATATTATATATGACATTATCATAATATTATGATGTATGGTTATGATAATATTATGATGTTATTTGATAAAAGTCGATCGTGCCAGAGAAAGTAAGTAGGGGTAATACTGAATAATACTTTTTTTCATACCGAGAAATAAATAACACTAGCACCATTGAATTAATGAAATATAGGTTAGTAGAATGTAATCAGACATCTATAAAATGATTTGTTTCAGGACCGTTTTCTGGTATATTGGGACAAAAGTTTGGAGCTAGACCCGGTATCACAGGTGCAATAGTGGCCACTGTTGGAATTTCTTCCTGTTTCTTCACAACTTCGTTGTATGCAATTACTCTTCTATTTGGCGGAGTATTCGGTTAGTTTTCTTCTCTTTTTGACAAAGAGGCAATTCATTCTCCCCCCAAAAAAACTAATTAATTATTGTACTTACAGGTGTAGGCTGGGGTTTTATGAACACGTTAATGCCAGGAGTTTTGAATGCATATTTCCTGAATCTTCGAGCTACAGCGAATGGCATAGCTAACTCTGGCTCATGCTTTGGATCTCTCATCCTTCCAATAACCTTTGAATATTTCATTGAATTTTATGGCCTTGCTGGTTGCTTCCTGCTGACTGGTGGAATAGTCCTGCATATCGCAATACTTGGTGCGCTCATGAGACCACCCCCTTGGCTTAAATCTACAGCAAGTCATAGCCTGAAATATCTGGAAACTGAAAGACTGGTTTCCAAAGGGAAATCAATCCGATTTCCTGATCAAAACATGATTGAAATTCAAAAACATGAACGAGTGCTGTGTGAAACCGAAAAAGATAGCATGTTACAATCAACGATATCTTCTGAAGATGACCCACAAGATCCCAGTTCTAAAACTTATCAGAGCACCATTTTGCCAACCAGTTCTTTTGAGAATGTATCGAAAAAAGCTCATAGTGTCAAGGAGAGATATTTTACTGAGAAAGATGTAAAATCTTCGTCAAACACATTTCTGAACGAGGCAGCCAAAAGTGAAAGCCAATCTGTTAAAGACATAATGCATAATTTCGTTATTGTCCTTATGTGCCCATTATTCTACATTACTGCAATAACCAATGTGAGCTTTTATTTCTTGTACCACATGTATGTGGTGATTATTGTTGATTTTGCCCTCGATAGGAGTGTGCCGGCACAAAATGCCAAAGACATGCTTTTTGCTTTTTCGATAGCCGATTTATTTGGAAGACTTTGCTTTGGTTGGATCACAGACAAAAAATTCGTCTCTCGTCCAAAATTTGTTATGATATGCATGGTACTCATTGGTATAGTTTTCTTCCTATTCCCATTTTCCGAAAGCTACTGGACTTTGATAGCCTCCAGTTGCGCTTATGGCCTTCTCTTAGGATGCACCATGGTCATCTTTCCCATATTGCTTGTTGATTTTTTAGGCATCGAACTGCACGCTGTTTCTTATGGTTGTATGTGCTTCATGAACGGATTCGCCTCTTTTGGAAGACCCTACCTCATAGGTAAACTAATAAATATTTTCAAATACTTTACACCAAAGTGGTGTAGTGTTCCACCCAGAATGCTCTTTCACATTACTTGGTGTAAAGTAGCCACCGCCCATTTTTTGTAACACTAAAATTTCTGATTACAGTAAGATAAGATACACATAAAAGTATACACGGCGTTTACGCTGTTTAGGATTTTTGAATGCGCTGAATACTTTGTGACGAAAAAAAAATGGATGTTATCATTCGAAAATTTCTAGTTTCTGTTCCTCTAACCACTTTTCTGCCGTTTCCAGAATCTTAATAAACTATATCTGAAATTTCTTCCCGATCGAGCCGATCGTTAGTAGTCCATAAGTTAGCCAGTTTTTTTTTACCACTTCGTTTACACTAAATAACAAAATGCGAAGTATTCTCTGTTAGGTGACTTGAAATAGTAACCACTTGATTCCCAATAAAATCTTCTTTGTAAGAAATGAGAGAAAAACAAATATATTGCTATGATCATCGACTCGTTCTCCACCTCTGCCTTACAGGCCCTTTCTACAAACCAATAAGAGCTTTGCTGAGATCTTTTAAGGAGGGTTGTTTTCCAGTGGGCTGCAAGGAAACGAATATTTTCTTGCTAAAAGGGGTAAGAAAATAAGACCGCCAAATTAAAGACAAAGAGAATGAGGGAGAGAGCCTTCTCTGTGAAAAGATCTTCTGTGGGGTGGTGAATTTCAGACTTTTGACCGACTGTCTTCTCATCTGTTTGCATCGTTTTAACAGGATCGACTGGCATTTTATGTTATACTGGAGAGAACATGACTGCTTTCACAGTGCTGACGTGAAATATCCTCTATGGTAGACGGATCATGGGTTAGAGTACCCTTGCCGTCAGGCTAATAGCGAGAGGTTCTCGTAGTCTTCCTCTCCATGCAACGCAAATCCGGGTTAGTTCCATCAAAAAGTTCTCAAAGAAGGCAAATTTCTCCCTATACTTCATCCAGGAGTTCCCTTGTCTTCTGGATTGAGTTCAAATGACAAGGCTACTGAGTTAAACATTGGCAGTCGTAAACAAATTGGGTCAGCTGTTCAACGACGGTCATAAAATAAAATTTGAAAAAAAACATGACTGCTTTGAGGGACTTGATATGTACTCTATTGGAGAGCTCTTAGTCAGATACCTATAGACTGGCATTTGTAAAATAATAAATCGATGAGATTTCAGTCTGGATACAGCTCAAAGTGCGCAAAATGGGAACAGCTCAAAATACGTATTTAAGGACACAGCTCAAAATACATGTTTACAAAATTGGACACACTTCAAAATATGCGTTTAAGAGAATGAAAACAACTCGAAATGCGAAATGGACACAGCTCGTAATGCGTGCTCACGAAAATGGACCCGGCTCAAAAATCACACCTCCCACATCAGATCTTTATGGTGAAGTATAGATGATGGGAGGATTGTGTGCAATGAATAACTTATTTTCTCTCACTTTGCACTATTATTGACTCTCGCACTGTTTTTTAAAGAATCGTTAAGTAAACCATAATTATTTGATTTAAATGAATGTTATGTATTCGTTTTGATTATGATAATATAAGAGCGCAATTATAGTGCGTTTCGTTTTTAGAAGATAAAACTCTTAGAAGACTTTTCTTTGGGAGGGGGAGGGAGCAAATTACGTGAACTCTTACATTTCTGATTCTCGATTACTTGTATTTTAAAAATATCTTATCCTTGCCTTTCTTCTTCTATTTTACGTCGTAAGTTCTTTTAAAAACTCATCTATTTCAGTTTTTTCTTTACAAAAATTAAAAATAAACTTTTTAAATTTTGGATTAGAAATTAATTTTTCTTTTTTAAACTTGTCAACGAGTTATACTAGTCATTTTTCAGTGTTTTTTTTCCCCTAGTGATGTTATTCTGAGAGATTAATCGCATTGAGATTAATTTTGAAAAAAAATTAAATCAGTTTTTTTTTTACCTATAATTAATTCGATCTTTAAAACAGTTTTTTTTCGTAGGTAGGAGAGGAGATTTTCAAAATTTTATTTACTGTAAAGAATAGACCATAAACTTGTACTTTTTTACTTATAAAATACCAAATTTGTAAATTCTAAGCACACTCCTCTTGATCCCTTAACCCCTACTTATGTAAACAAAGCGTTTTATTGGTATTTTTTATTTTCTGAAGTTATTAGCAAATGGATGCACAGAAAGTACTAAATATAGCACTATTTGTATGTGCGATTTGTATCGCTGTTATAGCACAAATGTGCTCTAAGGGTGAGAAATAGCTTAGTGGTAAGTATTCTTTCCTCAAAGGGTTGAAACGATGAGCTGACAAAAAAGACCGTAAGTAATATTTCATAACCCATGTAAATAAATTGTCCGCACGTTTTCCTTTGATCTGTCAATTTCTATTTTAATGTGACTGTCTCCTTACCAGTTATATTTTCAAAATATCTTTATGAGGAAGGGCACCAGGGAGAAGGTAACGAAATTATTCAAATCAGTTTTGTATAGTCGAGAGAGAGAGACCATGTAAATGGAAATTTGCTTACGATTATTATTTTTTATTCAAAATAATTTTCGCTTTTTATAGCCTAAATATGTGTTACATAAATGTTTTCTGTTTAGGTTATTTTCGAGATCACGTGGGCTCCTATTCCAGCATGTTTTACGTCCTTGGTGGAATATCAAGTGCGGCATCTCTTCTCTGGATACTCGAGAGCTTATTTGTGAAAAAAGAAAATCTATAAACATTTCTTATCGCCATTTTCTTAAGTGAAAATAAATATTTATTTTTTCATGTTCTGTAAATTTGAAATAAATGAATTCACTTTAACAATTTTCCTATTTTAGTAAATGCAAACTGAATTTTCAAACGTTCAAAGAGTATAGATATCAAGTCAGATCAAAAATGTGAACTATTTCTAAATCTATCTATGGAATAGTGGTAACCAAACTGATCCTTCAAGCCCTGGAGTTGGAGTAAGTTTTCCAATAGCTTTGTTCCACTCTGTGTTTAAATGCTTGCAAACTAGTCGTAAATGTTGCTTGTGAAAATTAAAATGATAACTCTAAACAAAATAGCTAATAAGACCTCAAACAAGTAGACATCATCATGATTAAGGAGAACGTGTGTAAGGGTTTAATAAAAAAATATACTTTGGTGCGTATAAGATAAAGTTATTTATGTAATAAAATTGATAGATGGGTTGAAATCATTGGTAAAGTACTTGTATTTGGATATAGTCATGATAAAAAAAAGTTAAATTATTGAAATGTCGTGATAAAACAAATCAAGGCCGAAATGTATAAAAGGTAAATTAATTAAATTGAAGGGGAATGTGATCGTTAAGGAAAGTGGTAGTACAATGCTAATGTGGGATAACAATAACCCAATAGGTTCAAAGGGTCACAAAGTGTGAGGTTTGAACAAATTGGATAATTTGGTATCACCAAATTTGTGAAAAGGGGCGAAACTAAAAATAAATTTAAGATAAAAGATAAAAACGATAAAGTCATGCTATATCCAAACAATATATATGATTTAATACAGTAAGCTGATGTTTCCAATAAGAAAAACTAATAAATTCACATTTATGCATGCCCATAACAATAATTGAAAGGTACTCACCGTGTACACACAGGACATTTTAAAAGACAACCATCAAAAGAAACACACATTTTTAACTTGCGTTTAAGATTTATTTAAGAACAATATCTAACAACATAACTAGTGGAAAGACGTCTTTAAAACAATTTTTAACATTAGGAACACCTTTAATAAAAATGGGTGACAAAAGAAATTAAAACACAGAAGGCGTCATAGATAAAAGTAAATTATAAAGGAACGAGTAATTTAAAGGTCAAAATAAATATGGAAAGAAAGCTTAAATTCGAGAAGGTTTTTGTTTTTAATGTTAAAGAAAATTAAAGGTATAAAATGTAGATTTTAAATTTACAGAAATGGATTTAATTTAAAATAAAGGTTAAGAAAAAATGTAAAAAGAAATCCCTCGATACTGACCGAAGTCCGCATCGCGGAGAATTTAAAAAAGGATAACCTGCCCGAAGGCTCGAGAAAAAGAGAATGTCTTAAGAAAGTGACTTAAAAAAATTCCTTAACTGGGGTAGACCAGAAAAATTGCGGCCAATTAAGTTTAAAGAGGCGGAGAGTTTGAAATTTAAAGGAAAGAGATTGGTTAGTTAGCCCCCCTAAAATTAAAAGAAGAAAAAGAAAGAAATGAATAGAGGGGTTGGATGACTTTCCCCACAGGAAGTGCGATGACCATGAGAAAGGTCAACAAGAAAGTTAAAATTGCTAAATTGAAGAAAAGGAATAACGTTTAAAGAAAAATTAAAGGCTTAGGTAAAATTAGAAATTAAATTGTCACATTACATTAAGTGTAAATGTGACAACGTGCTCAGATATATTTAAAACGGTTTAATTTTCCAGATTTAATAAATTAGTTGCAAGTTTGAATTATGGATACATCCTGACAAGTTTTTAAATAAGGTGATGTTTAAAGATGCTTTGTAAGCAGTTTCCTCCTATTTTCAGGTATTCTCTAAAGCTGATTTTTCTCAAATTATCTTAAAATTGACTTACAAAAAATAATAATTAAGCAAATCTCCTTAATAAAGGAAAGAATGACCATTAGCCAAGTTTTTCAATTCGAAGAAGCAGATGTCCACGTGGTTTTCAAGTAAACTTTACTATTTCTTAATCAATTAAAACAGGTAGTATTTGATACTGAAGTAGATTTTGACTTCTCGTGTGTTTGAAACATCCAGTAAATTTCCTTACTACTAAGACAATATCGACAATTTTCTTGTTGTTGCTTCTACTGCTACTTGCCAATCCTGAAAGCTGTTTGGTGAAATCAAGCGTATTTAAGGCAGAGGATGTGTTTCTTGTTATACAGTAGTGCCATCTATGGATAAGAATACTACTTCAGCCACACACAAGTCACAGCCCGTTTATAGGGCGGACCCATTCATTCATCCACAAATCGTAATTTTTACCTGAACCGAAAAACGATCCGTCTCAAATTCAGTACCTCCAGAGATATGATTTGTAATGGGAATATGGAGTACTTTGTGGACCCAACAGATTTAACGTGCACCAGTCACCATTTACTACACTGGGAGTCTTCGGCCGACTCTCACGAACTCACGCCCTCTTGAACAGGATCCCAACGTCCTACCCACCAGGTTGTCCCGGCCTACGACCATTTTTATATCAAGCATAAAAGTTATGGACCTCATCAAAATGACATAAGCATTAGTAAATCTCTTAAGGAATGATGTGTCTTTGACCTCATGCAGACGAAATCTTACCACTCTCTGTTTGGCCTTTCCATTCGATACTCTCCGACACAGTTGACTCTTGTCTGGCAGGAAGTGTGCGAATCAATAAAAGGCATACATTACGTAATTACCATATAATACGAAATTGTGTTCGTAATCATGAATCATGTGATCGAGTTAGTAGTGCTTTAAATGGAACCACAAAATGACATTAAAATCATCTTTTTTGTGCTATTATTTAACAAAAAAATATTCACTCAACTTTGCAAACAAAAATTGCATTTGCATTAAATGGAAGAGCATGAAAAAAAAAATGGCAGTTTGGCGAATTAGTTTAAAACGGTTAGAAAGGATCATGTGATTTATGAAAAAGGTAAATGAAAATACACTGTTACTAAAAAATATAGTTAACGCATTTGTTTAGGTCAAGAATTACGTTTAAGTAAACTATAATTACTTGAAAAAGTTCTGCCTTTTAATGCATAATTAAACAGTATGGTTCAAGGTTTTAAAAAAATAGCCGTGCTCTGCTAATCACACTAAGAAGACGCCATTTTATTGAAACTATTAATAGTTATATGCATGGTAATAATGAAGTATGAGTCTTATCCATGGGCGTCGACGGTGGTGGTAGGTTCATGTTCCCTTTATTAATTGGAAATCTTTTAAAAGTCCTCACTATTTCAGACAAATAAAGGAAACTTTCACGAATTATCATCTGTTTTAACATCAAGGAAGAGATTAATCTTTTTGCAGATGTTTAGCAAACTGAGTAATATATATATATATATATATATAAAAATGTNGAGAACTAGTGTGACTGTCTATTTTAATTTAGTCCCTCTCAAAAATTGAACGAAAGCGATGCCATTTATCGATCCAATCCAATTATCGACGCCAACTGTCGACGACATGATCTTATTACTTGACTTATCCGAATCATTGCGAATTGATAGTTTTATTAGCCAACTTCATAATTAAAAATGACAACATGGCTGGCTGTGAGAGAGAAAATGAAAAAAATATGTGTGCCTGGGACAAACTTCTCTATTAGATGCACTTAGGAATGTAAATGCTAAAGGTGGCAAAAATTCGCATTTAACTATGAAAAAAAGGGGGGGATATACATTATAAAAATAAAAACCACATTTTAAATTTTATTATATTTATGAACGAAAATTATTTCAATAGTAGAAAATTAATTATTTCCAGCAACACCCTAAAATTTTATTACTAAATTTGTTTAGAAATCACATTATTTTCTGCCGACCGGCCTGTGTAGGGGGCAGAGAACTGTCCTTGCGTCAGAAAGGTTCTGGGTTCGAATCCCGGGCAAGACATGGATATTCCTTCTTTCTCTGTACTATCTGTCCTCACTGTGGGAGCGATGTTGGCCCACCTAATATGGTGCCCCTGAAACAAAGGTCAACAAAATTGCCCTGTCTGCCGGCCAGGTGGCCGAGCGGTTAGCTTGTCTGACTGCTTAGCCAATGGCTGCGGGTTCGAATCCCGCTCTGGGCATGGATGTTTCTTTCTCTCTCTTTGTGTTCTATGTCCTTTTTCCTTTGTGTGTTAGTGTGAGTGTGACCAGCCCTATAAACTGGTTTGTGGTTGTGTGACTCCACCAGCGTGGCTTCGCCATAGGTTTGGGTAACGAGAAGAGGGTAGCAGTTCTGACACTTTCTGAGGCCAATGGACAATAGTTCCAAGTGCCCACCATTAAAAAGAAAAGAAAAAAAAAACATTGTTTTCTTATGTCATAATATATTAAATAGAAACGAAGGTTTTAGTGGCGTTTGATTTCGTTGATTCAGTGCTCTTAGCTCCCATCCCTCTTGCAACTCTGGAAAGTGGGAAATGTTCTAATTCTAAATGTTCTCTGTAGAAAGTGGAAAAATGTTCTAAATGTTGATGACAAAATATTCAAATAAAATTGCAAACAAACATTCAGTTTCAAAGAAAGAAAAAAAATAATAGTATAGCTTCTGAAACTTTGCATAAATTTATATATACAATTTTATTGGCACCGTTTTCCCCAATTGTGAGAGTAAACATTGAAACGACGTCACTTCCTGTTCAAATGGAATCTGTCTCAATCCTCTCTTCCGGAATTTTTTTTTTTTTTTCCACGAGCTCATTTAGAGATAAGATTCTCTTTATCACCGGATGGTCATCGCAATGTCCAGTAAGTTAATACTTTTTTTTTTTTCATTTTGATCTGCTTTATATTTAGAAATTATTTACATCGTTCGGTGTGATTAATAATCATAAAGTATGTTTGATAATGGCTACAAATGCTATTTTCTCAATTATTAAAACATGATTGTTGGTAAACAACTATTTTAAAATAAAATTAAAAAATAAAAATATTAGAAAGTAAAATCCTTTTTTTTTGTCGTGTAATGTAGTGAATAGTTAAAATGTTACAGTTCAAAGTGTAAAACTCTAATATGAGATTTTGAATATTAATTACTTAACAATTTATACTCGTTTACATCTTCATATAAAACAAATTGTAAAGTAAAGCAAAGACGAAAATAATTTATAGCACGATCGCTTATTTCACAAGCACGCGAATATTCCGGATATTCTTAATATTATAATCAAAATGTTGTTACCTTTGTATATTTTGATTTTTGTCATCCGTAAAACACTATCAGATTTTAATATATAAT